GGAGAGGAGAGGAGAGGAGAGGAGAGGAGAGGAGAGGAGAGAGGCAAGAGGAGACAGTGTTGACTTTCCTCAGAAGCTAACCACATACAGTAGGCTGCCTTGAGGAAAGAGTGTGCAGCCACCTTGGGGTGGGAGGTGGGTCTGCTCCCTGTAGGTAGAAGGGTGTGAATCTGCTATTGAGGGGACCCCATCCTTATGTACTCATCCAGGTGGCAGCTGGTAAAATCAAGGCTCTGGAAGGAGAGTTGGATGTAGGACCCATGTCACCCACAACAGACAGGCTCTCCTGGACATTCCAGACGGCTTTCTAATAGCACCTGGTTACATTGGGCTGGGGTTTGTGTTGACCCCATATACACTGCTAACAGCCTACCTTGTTCCGCCCCTGAGGAGCCCTGATGTGAGGAGGAAGCTCATAGGGGACTGAGGAATCTTGATTTTGCAGATGACTTTTCCCATCGATTATCTGCCAACCGATGGAGGTGGACTGTCTTCATTCCCTGGCAACTAACTTGGAGGTAGTCAGCAAATGGAACTTGGTAAGACTGACCTGACCACAAGAAAGGACCAGGGCCTTTCCTGACCCACCAACTGTTCACTCTCAAACTCCTAAACTCTAAACCCACAGCCCCTCCCCTCTCTGCTAGCTCCTTGGTGCTAGGGAAGAGTGGCTGGCTAACTGGGCGATGGTGGCACACACCTTTAATCCCAGGTCTTGGGAGACAGAGACAAGTGGATCTCCATGAGTTCGAGGCCAGCCTGGTCTACATGAGTGAATTCCAGGATAGCCATGGCAGTTACAGAGAGAAACTGTCTTGAGAAACTAAGAGAGAGAGAGAGAGAGAGAGAGAGAGAGAGAGAGAGAGAGAGAGAGAGAGAGACTGGGTAGTGAAAATCTAATCCTAATCCTGGGAAATGGGCTGGCCTGTCACCAGGCAACCCCTTTATCCAAACCTGTCCTCTGCAGATATCAAAGAACTGCCATCCAAAGAGAAGTCCTGATGCCTCAAGGCCAGTGGGAACCCACCCAAGAGTTACCTTGATACAGCAGGACTGGGCCTTCCAAGAGCCAGAAGAACTCACCACAGCTCTGTGGTCCAGTGCTACCAGAGAAGATGCAGAGACCCATGGCTACAGTGGCCTAGACAGTCCCTGAGAGAACACTCATACCCCAGCCTGGGATGTCCCCACAGAGCACCTGCCGCCCACCCTGGGCTACTCCCACAAAGACCACTCGTTCCTTGTCAACCTCCTTTGCAGATTCTCACCACAGTACCCTAAGAAGCAGCTTGGCACAGCCTAACCCAGGCCCTAGCCCCTCACCCTAAGCCCACAGAGGGCATGTCTAGTCACAGTAAACCATCTCTAAAAGGGCTACTCTTGGGGGGGATGGTGTTCAAGATCTGTGCATGCTAGAGCTTTAAAGACTTGGCAAGGACACTCAGGCCATGAATGCTAGGCCTGAGCAGCTGCATTCTGATTGTGCAGATAAGAAAACTGAGGCACTAGATGGTGACCCTTTACCTTCTCCTCCTATCCCAATAGCTCAAGTTCCCAGAGGGAAAGGTCTGGTCCACCTCCCCTGGGTCTCATCCCTTGGCAAGCCCCTACTTCCTCATGACTCACCAAGCACTGTGATAGCCCTCTCAGGGAAACTGAGGCAGAGGCAACCACTAGTACAATAGTAATGTCACCCTGCCAGGGCCATCCTGCCCCAGGCCTCTCTCAGCACTGCCTACCTCAAGCAGACAGGACAATAGGGGAACTTCTGAAATCAGCAAAGGTAGGCCTGCGATGTCCCAAATGTGCCAGGCATCCAGTTTCCCCTCCTCAACCCAAGATGGGGATCTGAAGGAGCTAGATAGAAGGTGGGAGAAAACCTAGGCTCCACCAGGAGGAAGCCCATCATCATCTGGGTGAAGCTCAGCCTCCCCTCTGTCTTGAGGAACCCCTGACTTGGCCTGGCCTGGCTCAGCTCGGCCATCTGTGGAGAGAGCTCCAGGCCTCAGCTCCTAATCACCCCACCTTCAGTGCACACCCCAGGAGGGCAAGGTTGGAGGAGTCCCTCCACTGGGCTCCTGCCTCTGAGATCAAGGCTCTCCATACTGCCCGAGGCCCTCTGAGTAGAGCTCAGAGGGTCAGAGGGGCAGGTGGTTCAGGAAGGAACCTTGCCTAGGTGACCCTCAGATTGTCCTGGTCAGCAGGTGTGGGATTAGGTCAACAAGGTTTCCAGGGTAGATGGGGACCCAGAGCAGGGCTCTGAGCAAAGCATCATCATCATCATCATCATATGCTGAGGACATCAGGGTGCAGACGTCTCAGGGGCCAGATGAGCCGTGCAGCTGAGGGCACAGGTAGTCAGGTAGAGAGGGCCAGGCCTGTGCAGAGAGACCTGTCCACCTGAGCCTGCCTCCAGTGACAGGAGGCATGGCTCCATGCGGAGTTGGGGTTCCAGGACATGGATAGTGGTTGACTCTGAGAACCTTAAAGGCATGGGGAGCCACCCTCTGTGAGCTCTGTGACTGTCCTGTAGCTCCCGAGGCACTACACAGTGGAGAGGTAGGGGAGTTGAAGCTTGGTCTTGGGGCAAAACATTCCCTCAGTGTCACCCAGCAGTCCCAACAGAGACATGTGCAGCTCTGTGGAGATGCCACACCCTGTTCCCAAAGGACAGGAACAAGCTAATGACCCTGTGTTGGGGAGGCAGGCAAGGAGATAGCACCCCACCAGAGGAAGAATGGAAGTCCTGTGTCAATGGTGTGGAGACACTGGAGTGGTACACAGTAGCATTCCAGCCATCTGAGGGCTCTGTGAGAGAGAGGCTTGGCTTTGGCCTGCCTTGGGCCTGGTATGCTCACCCTGGTATTTCAGGGCAGGTATGAGGGAAGCACCTGGCCTCCGTCTGGTGTACCCAGTCCTCTATGGGCAGCATGGGGTGGGGACTCCCCCGAGCTCCTGCTCAGCTCTGGCCTTCTGGGGTTTCCTGAGTGGGTACTCTTAGGTCAAATATTCCTGTCTGGGCATCAGGGACTTCTTACCACATTAAACAGGAGAGTCCCCTGGTCCCTGAGTCACTCTGTGAAAGGACAGCTCCACCTCGCCCTGGGTCTCGGTTTCACTCTGAAAGGTCAGCGGTCTACTTGGTTCTCTTTCTTCCACCATTTTGGGGAGGACATCTTTAGGGGACTCCCAGGCCCATTGAGGTCTTAGGACTGTGGAACAGGAGTTTCTGACAGACAGGCACAGGTGCAGCCCGGTTCCAGTCCTACAGCAAGATGCCCAGGGATCTGCTGTGCCTGCCAGAGCTGTGGGCACCCTTGACTGTGTTGCTTAGACCTCGGCATGGCATTTGAGACAGCTGAGAGAGGGGGCCGAGGAAGGGCCTAGGAGGAGGGTGGGGCGGGCTTGGCTGCTTGCACCTGCCCTTCTATGGGCATGAGGTGGCAGGGGCCTGGCGTGAGGGCATTTCTGGACAGGGTCACAGCTGTTGCCCGATCACCCTGTTCCACACACCCCACAGCTTGTGTCCTCACTCAGCCTGGGCAAGTGTCCTTAGAGCCCTTCTTCGGCCCTCATGATACATGTCCCCCCTCCCAGGAGACAGCTCTCATAGAGCCTTGCTGGGGACAATGTGGCCCTGGAACCCCCAGATTGGCACATGGATGCTGACCCAGGCCAGGCCAGTCTCTGTTTAGCCTCAGACTCTTTTCTTGGCTGAAGGGTTCCCTGAACAGTTCTCAAACCAGGGTCCAAATGCAAAGCAGCAGTGGGGAGCCTGAGGTTGGCCCTCTGCCCCCAACATGCACCCCTCACAGTGAGGCCTCTTTCCCATTATCTGGGAGGACTGAGGCATTATTGTCCTTGCCCAAGATCTAGAGCCTGGCTCCATTTTTACAAGGCAGCCTGGGGACTACAGAGACCACAACACCTGCTGAGTAGCCCTCCCCTCCTTAAGGCTGTAGCTGCAACCTAAGAGCCACATCTTCCCTGACAGCCGGACAGCTCTGGCGGCAGTTTTCAGGCCCCCGGGGCCTTACCTCCTTCTTCCCCTTCCTCTTATACACCTGGCCCACATCCTGCTCCCATGAGGCCTCTAGTCCCTGGCTGTAGAATATCCCCTTCTGCCCCTTGAAGACCCAGCCTGTCCCTAAGCCCTGACACTCTTCTGAAACCTGTTCCTGGGACCGGTCAGAGCAGGCACCCATGGCCTGGCTTAGTCTCCATGCCTGCCCACGGACAGCATCCCTTTGCATGACCCCCAGCTTGACCCAACACAGGGAGGAACCTCAGCAGTTCTTCAAATCACAGATGCCCTTACGCAGCTGGCAGCCTACAGGCCTCTGCTCAGCTCTGTCTGTGGCAGAGGAGTGGCCCCTTTTACCTCCTCAAAACATTCCCCTCCCATACCCACTGTACCCAACAGCAGTGCCTGGTCCATGAGATGCCATCGGCCTTCTGTATCCCCACATAGCAGCTTTGGGAACCCCTGAGACCTGGCCACCTCTGAGTATCTCAAGGCAGGCCAGACCCCTCAGATAAGTCTACAGGTCAGCATCCTGGCCAGGATTCACAGCCCCGGTTTCTCCCAACACAGCTGTTGCTTTCTCCCACTGATCAGACCACATTCAGGCATGCCCAGTCCCTTCCACACCAAGTATCTACCCCCTTTGTCCTGGCTGTGGACCCTAGCCAGGGAGATCTATCGTTGCCCAGTTAGGCCAAGCTGCAGAGGCAGATACGGTTAAGAGGGGGTTTCTGAAGGACCTCTAAGTGAGTAAGCACTATCCAGGACTCTGACCCGCAGGACTTAGCACAGAGCAAGCTGCTTGCTATGGGGCTCACTCACTCTTTGCTGTCTTCTGCATGCAGCTCTTCCTGCTCCTCACAGCTGGGATCGCTGGCAGCCTCCGCCATGGGCCTGATGTCTTTGGTGTGGGTGCGCTCTTTGTGGCTCCTAGTGCTTCTCTGTAGATGGGCCGTGGCCTAGAGCCCCCACCCGGGGCAGGTTTCACTTCCTCCTTCCGGCAGGCAGCAGGTTGAGGTTTGGAACCTATTGGGACTTGGGTTGGGGTGTTGTTTTTGACTCTGTTGCTGCAAGAGAAGAAGAAGAAAAAAGCTAAACGCAAACCACTCATCAGGAAGTGTTGAGCAAGCTGCAGCCGCCGGGGGTGACAGAAAAGGACCGAGGGCAGAGGTGGGTGAGGATGCTCCTCACAGGTCTAGCCCATGTGGCTGGGACATCCTGTGTATCTCTAGGGTGCCTACCAGGAGTCCTGTGAGTAGCTAGTTCTCCCCGTGTCCAGAATCCGTGATCCCTTCAGCAGACTGTGCTCCCCTATGGACTGCTTTCAACTGTTTTACGTGGAAGTCCTCCATGCCTCCATGTGTGCTCACAGAACACGCTGGAACCAGTTCTTGATACTTCAAGGCCTTGGGCACTCTTGAGTAGTCTTTGCTTTCCACCCATGTCCAGGGTCCTGCACATGGTGCTCCCATAGTCTGTAGGTCTAGAGCCTGTCTCAATCTGTCCCCATTCCTAGCTAAGAGGCACCTGCGTTTCCTTCTTGCTCTGTCAGCTCAGTTCTCTTTAATCCTGTCTCTGTGCTCTGAGCATTTGGAACCAATATCAGAGTTGGTTGATGTTCCCAGATAAGACAGGGTGGGTCATGGATTCTCCTGAGAGGCAAGATAATATCAGGACCAGGGGAGAGACCGAGGCTTTTGAGAGGAAACCAAAAGGATTCTGGGTCATCAAGGAATGTTGGAGAGTTTGAGGGCCAGATTCCAAAGCTCCAGGACTTGAGCTGAGGTGTCATTGGGCCAAGTTGGGGCAGTCACAGTATGGTAGAGACTCCCTCCTTGAGGTCTGCTGGCCCAAGAGACAGAAAGAAAGGAGCCAGTGCCATCTCGGTCAGCATTAGCCAGTGAGTGGCCTCAGGAATCCAACTATGAGGTCTTTCAGGTGAAGAGGGGCAGAAGGACAGGAGAGATCCTGGGGGTGCTGGGAAACTCAATGGAACCCCTGGAGTGACATCCAGAAGCAGACCAGTGCTTACAAGCATGCCTGAAGGGAATGAGCCCTTTCTCACCCACGTGGCTCAAAGGCAGGCAAAGCCTGACTCACTCTATCCCAATCCCGAGGAAGAGACACAAAGGAGCCCGGGATGAGCAGTGTCCAGCAGGCTGGGCCAGAACCCTGACTGCTTCCTCTTTAACCTCCCGTCCCTTTTTGCACTTTGCTTCCTTGGGACCCTCCCAAGGGCCCTGTTGTTTAGTGGCTGGGAGTGCAGGTGGCATGTGGCATGTGGCAGAGCTATGACACTTCAGTCCCGACACCTCTTAAGAGGTTCCCACAGGCTCTTACGTCTGCCAAGG